AGTTCCCAGGTCAGGCGCAGTTCTGAGTCAGGCACTCTCCCGGCTGTGGAGAGGGGACTCTTGGTTGGAATCTTTGGCCTGAAGCCGAGCAGGGCAAAGCTGCAGTTTGAAGGGAAGGACGTGAGCAAAGAGACACTGGAACCAACCCAACCATCACAGGGACACTTAATGGAACGTTCCTGACCTGAGACTGGCAGCCACTCACACATGGACTAAACACCTGCTCCCTTACGCCTCACTCACATGCCCAGAGTCAGCCCCTGCACAAGGAAAGGCAAGACCCATCTCTGTAACCTTAGATTTGTTTTGGTAGATGCACTAAGGGGGAAAATCAAAAAATAACAATAACAATGTACTTTCTTACAGTGACTGATAAGGAAAGGCTGAGGAATACAGGTCCTCACCCTAAATGTTTCTTTTATGTAATTTTGGTTACTCTGGGATACCATAGTGATGGGTATACTAAAATACTTACATAGACAGACAATGTATACACACACACACACACTTATGGCTAATCACAGATTAATGCACCTATGCCCACACTCAACCACAATCCTCATGCGCTCTCAGAGGTAACACATGGCACATTTCCATCTGTGGGCATCCTACCTGCCATTGATGGGCCAGGTGCGAGTGATGTCACTTACGTAGCAGGAAGACTCACATCCACCATCCAGTAAGACCATTTCTCCATCCTGGAGAAGAAGAAGAAATATACCATGGCTCAGGCCAGCGGCTAAGCTTCCTGCTTCCTCTGTGAAAGGGTCGTCTCTCTCTCTCTCTCTGTGTGAGAGGCTGACCCCTAGGACAAGGGGATTTTTTTCTGCAAAGATGGAGTGGAGACTGGACTCCCCTCACAGAAAAGCATTCCAGGTCCCCCATGTTCAGAGAAGCAACTATGGCTGAATTGTTCAGTTACCCTGCCAGGTAGTCTTGAATGGTGCCAATACCTAGAAAGCCTGAACTCCATTCCCCTGAACTATTCCGCACCCGGAAGGAGCCACCTTTATCCAAACAGGCTGGCGTCTGTGGTCATCACTTTACATCAGACTGTCTCCAATTGAGAGATCTCTTTTAACAGGAATTCTGTGATAATAATCAGGACTGAAAGGGTTTTACAGAGGAGATGAGAAAGGATTTGTCCAGTGCCTCTCATGCATGGGATTCAGAGAGGAAAAGGGACAGCTGAAGAGCTCTAGCCCAGGGAATCATCTTTGTTACAGGATATCAGGAGACTCAACAGGCGTACTCCCTCTCGGACAGGGCAGCGTTTTGGGACTGAAGTCTTAAAACAATTTCTGTTATCTTCACTGCTCTCTCCTGGGACTGGGACTGCCAAAGCAATGCAGAGAGAGATTCTGAGGTGCATCAGGTCATGGGAAGCCGAGACGTTAGGACACATTCACATCCACTTTACCTTCTATTCACTTTAGTCCAATTCAGCCAAATGGTTCCAGTGATCATCAAATAGCTTTCTGTGTCTCCCACAGAAAGTGACCATGTGCAAGCCCAGGGTCCAAGTATGGAGAAACTGCCATGCCCTCCCCTTTCTTAAACGGGCTGCCAACCATGCAGTCAGTTCTGTAAAAACTTTGGGCCAAATGCTGTATTGACTTACATAAGTGTCATCCCAGTGATTTTAGTGGCATTCCACAGCATGGCAGCCAGCACAGAACTTGGCCCCCTGACCACTGATCTCACAGTCAATGGGAGGGTGTAGTTCTCTGTACACTAAGGGGAAATCCATGAAGCAAAATCTTAGATATTCCTGGTGTTTAGCTGCTATCCCTATAGGCAGATAAATATTATGAACATTTACATTAGTAGTTTGGACTCACTGCTAGTCTGACTTCCATTTGGACTCCATTTTAAACCTCCTGTAAGCAATTGGTTAAATTATTTTAGTTCAATGTGGGATGATCCCCTGCTTGTTTTCTTGGGAATAATAAAATAAACTGAGTAAATGATGGAGAATTTGTTTTGCTGAAGACACTCAAGATCAGGGTTTGAATATCTCATAAATGTCACTGTCAAAGGGTGACACGGGCCCTTTAAGCCCTGCGACTCCTCTGCTGCTTCCCAGTTGGGATTAAGAGAAGGCACCTTGGCCATATCAATAGGGAAGAAACGGAGAGGGTGGACGAGTCAGTCAGGAAAAAAGGCAGTTGAGAGCTGCCTGGGAGGGAGCTGCCTGGGAGGGAGAGCTTGGCAGGTCAGAACAGCCAGAGATCAAGAGGTCTCTGGAGGAAACTGTAGGAGGTTCCTGGGGGAAGGCTGAAGGCAGAAGAGCAGCAAGAAAGGTTTGCTGGCTGACCTCCCCAAGCTAGAGATCCAGGGTCACAGGGCTGAAGGCTGGAAAGCAGCAGAGGGAGTTGTCTGCTGACTTCTAACCTGGAGAGAAGGAGGAGAGGGCCAGAGACAACAGAAGGCTGGGGAGCACTGGTGGGCTCACCCACAAATGTCTCCACACTGAACAGCTGGAACCAGGGGAAGTCAGGGATGTTCCTCTGGTAAGGATGAACTCCTAGCAGAGAGGGTGTGGGAATTCCCACTGGGAAACATGGGTGGCCGTCTTGGTAAAAGGACAGGAGAGGATTGAAAAAGAGCTTGGGATTTGAAGAACGATATACACTCTGTGTGAGAAATGGATGATGTTTTGGGTCTTTTGTTTTGGACTATTTGCACTATTTTGTTATAAGCCATCCCCAAGGAGGAGGAATATGAGGCGAGAGATTCATGACAGAGTTATTGGGGATTCTGAAGGAAGGGAAACTGAGGCAGGTGCACCTGTTTGGCTGCTGGAGGATGCTCCAGGCAGGGCCACCCTCTGACAGTCTCACTATGCCAAACATCCTGTTCCTGTAGCGACTGAGACAGTGACGACACTACTTAATTATTCTGTGAAGTAACTCCAAGACATTATGAAGAGAACCTAGCCGTCTGAGACGATAGGATCTTTTAATGGACTCAATTTTCATTCTATGGGAAGGGAAGTTTCTCTGGAACAAGAGGTCACTGTGGAGTCTAGCTTGGGAGCAGCCACCCACACTTTAACATTATCAGTAGAAATTTTTGAGTTCATCAGAATTGGTGGGAATGGCATGCTTTGCACGGGTGGTTGCCAAGGTGTTAACAATGCTACCTGACACAGTGACCGCCTTCTTCCTCCATTGTAAGGGGGAGCCTTCTCCAAAAGTGTAGGTGAAATGCGGGGCTTAATTCTAGAGTGATTCAATCACATTTCCACATAGGAAATTCAAGTCCTCTAGAAGGAAGTGACAAGAGGAGTTAGGCTTTTCCTTGGGGATGTCTTCCAAACTAGACACACTGTCATGCTAGTTGGCAGAAAGGTTCTTCTCAGAGGAAAAGCAAAGCAAAGGTCTTGTTAATGATTGTATCCTCATGATAATCAGTTCCTCATAAAACTAATAAAAGTGCTCTGAACTGACTTTATCAGAAGCAGTCTGAGTTATGCTCGCAAGCCTGACCTTGACCGGAGTGTAACAATAGAAGCCTTTTTTGCCACAGTGACTGGTCTTATCCTGGATGCATGTGTGTGAGAAGAATATTTCAAGGACCCAACTAGCACTCTCTCCAACAAAAGATTAAGCCAGGAAGGAAGCTCATGCCTACATAAATGAGGAGACAAGATAACAGGCTCTACTGAAAAGTGAGTCCTAGATATAGTATAATAATGTAGTAACCTCCTCCAGAGACTTGCATGAAGCTAAGACTATTTTGTCAGAATTGCTGGAGAAGGAGTCAATGGTTTGGAGTCCGGAAAACAAGGCAGACAGATTCACCAACAACAAGTTAAAAAGACCCCAAAACATTTCCCTCTCCCTTCTCAGCCACACTAAATGGATTTAATTGGACTTCTTTCTGTCATAAAAGAGCAGAAATTTGCTGCTGCAGCTTACTGTGCACCAAAGTAAAGCAAGACCAAAGAATTCAGGTGAGAGAGGAGGGGCCCTAGCATCCTTGTTACCACAACTTTGTCTTCAGTGTGACTGGTGCTACTCTCTCACTTTTACAATGTCAGAAACCCACCCAGCATTCTAGACTGCTGCACAGGAACTACAGAAATGCAGGATACAGGAGCAGATTTGCAATACTATGAGAGAAGCTCAGCATTCTTTAGAAAATAGAGCAATGGGTGCATTAAAAGGTAAGGATGGATTTGAAGTTGGCCTTACTGCCAACAACAGACAACTATATTAGGTTCCCATCTCCCATTGCTGTGTAAATATTCTTTCATTCCACCCAATTTGTTTCAGCACTTCTTGTCACAACAGAGGCACCGAGGGTACAGGTGAGCCTGGTCAGGGGCTGGTAAATGGACACAATATCAGTACCCTGGAGTTTAAACACATGGAAGGCATTTGATTTACCTTGATAAGCTGGTTGTTTTTTATATAGTGCAAGGTGTTGGACCTGTTGCCACCAGCGACCACAGGTGGGTAAGCCAAGATGTCAGCCCCTCGTGCCCGGCATTCAAATTCAAACTGGAACAATCAATTCAGAGAGAAGCCCATTAGTTCTGGCACAGTAAGCAACTGTGCTGGGCAACCATAGCTCCTGCCCCCACAGCCATTCTCTCTGTCTATGCAGAAGGCAGTAACCCAGAAGAAAATGAAACCGAGAACAGCATTTCCTGAATGACAACAGCCCAGGGTTCCACAGAACAGCAGAAGATGACGCAGAATAGTTATTTTTCACGGAAGTGTCTGGAACCCAGTGTTTGGTCTCATAGAAGAGCTCTCTGTCTGAGTTCGTAAATGCTACAACAATGATGTTTTAATACATTTTTTGTGGGGTTTTGTGCATTTTTTAAAGCATTGCTCTCACTTCCCATACAACTTAGCAAATTTTTTAAGCTCTTCTTTATCTAGCTTTGGGAGGTGTTTTAATTCCAAAATACCAGCTAACTTTTAGATCAATATCTATTTTTGTGACCCTGTCTCAGTACCTGATTAAGAGATTGCCCATCAGAGCAGAAGACATCAGCAGATTCAGACAGGTTATGCCCAACTATTGTGCCACAATGATGAAAGAAATTCCTGCTCCTCACCTTCCTCCAAGCTGAAGTAGATAATAGAGTGAAGCTGAATTAACTAATGTTCCTCAGACAGAACAGCTATACAAGTACAAAAAGTACCATTACCAAACATCTTTTAAAATTTGCCAAGCTGTGTGGGACAAAATGCTCCACGATACCCACAATATAAATGCTTTGGGTAGAAAACTGTATAGTACAGATCTGGGTGGAGGGTGTTTTTTAAAATTGCATCTTAAATGAAATCAGCTTCTCTAGGAGAAGTCTGTACTACTGATCAGCACAGACAGACCCCTCTCAGCTCAGACATCAAAGGCCACATCCTGCTTGTCTTGCTCAACGAGGCAGTCCTGCTAAAATCCCTAAGACTATTTGGATGAGAAAAGTAAGCAGGATTCGGTCCTCAATTTGTAATTTATAGGTATTCTGAAAATCCTTCTGGGAAGCATTTGTTTCAGGGAAAGGTCTAATTTTTTTGCATGTATGTTAGAGGGTTATTTCAGAGGAGAAGATATTGTAATTTTGCATAGAACTGTGGCAGGCAGTTTGTAATTGTAATTATTTTGGAATTAATTTTGTACATATGTGGAGGAGTAATAAACTAAACTGTAAAAAGATTTAAGATCACATCACTAGTTATTTGGGTATATTCTGGGTTCAAACGCTAGAGAAAAGGCATTACCAGTGGACAAACTGGATATTCACTACATCTTGCAAGGCAGGGGAGAGGTAAATATTCAGAATCCCCCAGGACTGAATCTAGTGTAAAAGCAGAAGTTCATGGAGGTTGGATCTTGGCAGAGCTGGGTAGCATACATCCAATATTAATCTCTCCAGACATGCAAAGAGGGAGCTGTACAAGCATAGAAATTTAGTTCTTAGCCAAAACAACAACAGGAAGTACATCAGTGTGGAGAGCAATGAAATCTAAACAGGAAAGCCTTATTCCTCACTGGAAAACTCATTGCTCTCTCCCTCCTTCTCCTACACATTCCTGGCTCTTCTCTGACCTTTCCCCCTTAGTGATACCCTATATTACAATCATTAGGATACAGACTA